ATGAACAAATCATTTGTTTTGCAGATTTCTATCATGCGTTCTCCAGCATCATTTCTATCACCAAGGCCATATTTTCCAACTACTGTTCCTTCCTCTTTGCTCCCAACCTTTGCATTCTAATCACCAGTAATGATCAATACATCTTGATTTCATGTGTGATCAATTTCAGATTGAAGAAGTTGGTAGAATTCTTCTATTTCATCCTCAGAGGCTTTAGCAGTTGGTGTATAAATTTGAATAATAGTGGTATTAACTAGGCTTCCCTGTAGGTGCATGGCTAGTATCCTATCACAGACAGCATTGTACCTCATGACTGATCTGGATATGTTCTTTTTGACGAAGAATGCAACACCATTCCTCTTCAATTTGTCATTCCCGGCATAGTAAACCATGTAGTTGTCAGATTCAAAATGGCCAATATCAGTCCATTTCAGCTCACTAATGCCTAAGATATCGATGTTCATGTGTTCCATTTCATTTTGACAACTTCCAATTTTTCCAGGTTCATGCTTCGTACATTCTGGTAGCATAGTGGCTACGAATCGGGCTGCTAATCTCATGGTCAGCAGTTCGAAACTACCAGCTGTTCCGCAAGAGAAAGATAAGACTTTCTGCTCCTGTAAAGATTTACAGCCACAGAAACCCTTTACAGGGTCACTATGAGTCAGAAACGACCCCACAGCACATAACAACTTTATCAGCATATATTCATAATACAACTGATCATCTTAAGTCAAGTGAATAAGTAGGGCCAAAATTTCTCTCTGAGTTTAGCATACTGTTCAATGGCTCAGGCAGTACATGTAAGCCACAGTGAGGAGAGACAAGGAGAGAAGAAAGGGCTGACCTGCAGCAGGGTTGGGGGGCTGCCTTGTGTAGGACACATTGAATGCAGGCTCCTCTATCAGTGGTGGGGGGTACATCCGCCTCCGGATGAAGAAGCCAGCGCCACAGCAGAAGAGCACACCCATCATCAAGAGGAACCTGAGAGAGGACAAAGCACCAAGGGGTCACAAAGCAGAAAGGAGACCAGACAGGCAGAGACCCTGAGGGCCCAAGCAGGTGACTCCAAGCACAGGCCCTGCAAATGCTGACTTCTGAAAGGATGGATGACAGCTTAAGGCTTATGAGAGTCAATTTATGCACCCACTGACTTATGCATGCTATGACTTCCATTGGCCTGGCCAAAATACTAGACTCTAATGAATGACTCATCATAGTATATCAATGGGGGAGTTACTTTAGAGTGTGATCTGCCCCCAGAATGCAAATCAATTTTTGGCAGAACTCTCTCAACACTGTACTCTTCCAATCGTCTCACCTGCAGATTCTGGAATGCAAGGCTTCAGTCTCCAGCCTACTCCCTACCCCACGAACTTCAAAGTTGCCAGCCCCCCGAAATCCAGGAAGATAGTAGACGTCTCTAGCGTGTCACTTGACCTAGAGATTTAGGACTTGGTCTAATGGTATGGGCCAAAGTTAAATGGTCACTATGAGTCAGAATTGACTCCATGGCACATAACCAACCAATACGGTAT